TATTTCCATTTTTATCTCTACCAAAAAGTCCATCAAAATTTTATTTTCTATTCTGGCAGCTTTGTTAATCAAATGGTTCTTCTTTATCGATTTTACAACAATTTTCAACCGAAGCATACAATCCTATGCATCAATTTGAACTTTCTAGCCTATGGTGCATTTAATGTTTTTATAAAGAATAGCCACCCTATTGTTTAAACCGACAAGATTTGACATTTACTTATTACAAAGGTCACATCAATTATTCCAAAAGGATTTCATTCATAAATTTAGAATCCTCATGTGTAGGTTGTCAATTGCTATAGTAGGGCTTCAACTTTGACTTTTGTTGAGCTTCATAACTACAGCTGACAAATGCGCTTATCTTCGGGGCTTTGTCTTCACCTGCTTCAATGAGTATGGCTTCGGCACTTCGGATCTATAGACTCCAATGGTTCAAGTGGCTTCATCATAAGGGCTTCAGTGGGTCGGCAACTTGGAGACTATATGACGAGGCGTAACAGTATGTATGCAAGTGGTATTTGTACGCCATCATAAATATATATGGGCAATCGAAATTTTTTTATCTTTTAATGGCAAAGTTAAAAATATTTCATCATTGTCCATGTCCTGTATGGCCTAATTTCGATAGTGAAAATTGTTTGCAGTGAATCATATTCATGTTCTTAAATTGGATGCTATGTCTATCATCATTTTCTAAATGTGGATATCATTACATGTTTGGCAAGATCAAACAATTACCTATAATACAAATTAATTTATTAAGGTACTAAACGGGGACGGTGCTTGTGGCTAACTGTAATATAGACGAGTTCTAAGCTCGGTGGTAATGAACCTTCTATTGTTTTAAATTTTTTTCTTTTTTTTTTTTAGATAATTAGCCATAGTACTTGTTTTCTTTAACAAATTCCACAATGATGCATTTTACAATTTAAAGATTTTTACTTAGGGCCAGTTCAGTAGTAATTTGGAAAATTGATTTTTAGATCGTTATGAGAAAATTGGGGGCCACCTGTGAGAAAAGAAGTCAAAAATTACGGTTGAAATAATGAAATAACGGTCAATAAATCAATTTTTTTTGGGTGAAAAATCACTCCCAAACTAGGCCTTAAACCTAATTAAGATTTTTCAAAAAGTAACTCAATTGCAATTTTCTTACTAGATCCAAGCATCAAGTCCCACCAAACCAAAACTTAACATTACGGAAAAACCACCAACTCACCACTACCATTGACAGGCAACCTAAACCATCAACTTCGGCACGGACGACAATTACGTATCTTCAGTGACACTGATCAGATCTGTGAAAAGTATTATGAGAATTTGCTCATATTTGAAAATAGATCAAAGGTTCCTATTGAAATATTGACACGACTTGGTGCTCAATTTCAAATTTGTAGATGATGGTGATTGATTTACTGGGAGTCAAGTTTTTTGTTGTTATCGGTGATAGTGGACGTAGATGGTGGATTCGAATATGTGGACGATGATGATAGAATCAAAAGTAGCACATTATGTTACCTATTACGAAATGTTGTGACATGGTATTTTACTTGTGTTAAGATGTTGAATTTTAATCACATGTTGCATCTAGTAAGTTAGCAGTTTAAAACGTTGATTTTTTAATAACAAGTAATACATTATGCTACTTTTATATGAGCAAGTTTGAAATATTGAGTTTTGAGGACAAGTGACATAATATGTAATCTTTAGTGACTAGACTACAATGAAAAACAAAACGCTATTTATCAATTTTTTCGTCTCCTCAGTATTCTTTCCCATCAATTTTTTAGGGTGGTAACAGTGTTCTATTTCGATGAGTCTGTCGATAATTTTTTTTTTCTTTTTACATTATATATATATCGACGAGACAAATCCCATACACAATTGTGTGTGGCATTTACCTGTAGTTACTTGTTAGTAATTGTCGTTAGCATCGTCGTCGAAGGAAAAAGGGGACCTATGGGGTTAGTCTCCCGAGATTTTTGAATTTCTTATTTTTTTTATGCTATTTTCTTTTTCACTTTTTTGTTTTTTGCTTTTTTGTTTTTTGTTTTTTTTTTTTTTGTTTTTTTTGTTTTTTTGTTTTTGTTTTTTGGTGAGGTAAGTGCGAAATTATCCTCCACCAGACTTTTGAAAGAAGGGAAAATTGTGTTGTCATCTATCTTGACCAATTTATGAAAGCTTTGAAAATCCTAACCAGCTTAGAGAATCATTGTAGGGAAAATTACATGGTATCAGGTACTTAAAGACCACAATTCAAAAATCAGGGACCAAGTTTTATTGTGCACAAATCAGGTTTTGACATATAATATGAACCCTAATTTTATTTCCACCCACTTTTATTTCATTCTCACACTCGCACTCTCACTCTTCCTTTCCATCTTCATCCTCTGTTAGATGATACTGTCACCGCCGTTGGAGCATCCGTCGCCGGAGATCAACCTCATTTCACTTCGCTGTCGCCAGCACGTTGCTACTGGAATGAAGAGATCGGAGCCTGCGACGAAGGGTTCGATATGAAATTCCTTCGATTAGCAGGGGAAGAATTCACAAACCATGTTTTAAGTATGCACACTTCAAAATTAAAATGGTTAAGTTTAATTATGCAAAAATCAGGTTTTTATGTAATTAATTAAAAATATTTAATATTTAAATATAATAAAAGTCACAGTTACGCAATTATGGTCACAAATCTCCAATTATAGGTCACAAATTTTTTCTTGGTCACAAATCAAAATTTTGTTGGTCACAGATTTTTTCGTGGTCGCAAATCAAAAATTTTATAGGTTACAGTCATCATTGTTCGCAGATTAAAAAATTATAGGTCATAGATTGTTTATTAATCACATATTTTCGAATTTGTTGGTCCCAATTATCAAATTTTAAGGTCACATTGGTCACAGGTCAAACAGTAGGTCACATATAGACCCGATCCTGGGGCTAGGCCAGTGAGGCCCGCGCCTCAGGCCCAAGACCATTAAGGGGCCTATTTTTTGACCTAATTTTTTTTTTTTAAATAATATGAGCCAGCCTAAAACTAATTATCCAACAACCCACAATCCATTTACCCTAAAATTCCAACCCAACTTATATATCCAAATCCAATATCACAACCCATTTACCCAAATTCCCAAAATTTGAAATATGAATTATACGATTTAGGGCTGCTCTTCTCGACGTTGACGTGCTCTGGTGCTCATCTAAGTGTCTATGTCTTCTCCGTTTGCTCGTCGCGCCGTCCGGTCACTCGACTCACCACAGTCCACCTCAGCCCAGGCCCTTCACGGTAAAAGCGCCACCTACTTTCGGCAATCGGTACGACCACGGACCAACAGCAGCAATTCGCCCCTCACATCCTGTAATTTTACTTGGGTATCATTTATTTCTATTGGACAGAAATGCTCTGTTAAACGATGTCGTATTTATCACTCTAGCATTACTAGTATAAAATTCCCACACCGCTCACTTTTTAGTTTAAGAAATTCTTAAACTTAGTTTCAGACCGAATCAGACGGAGAAGCTGCTGAAACACAAACTGAAACTCTAGAGAAAGACCCTGCAATTGGATTTTTTTGTTCATTGTTTTATTTTTAATTGCAATTAGATTTTTCTGTTCATTGTTTTATTTTTAATTGCAATTGGATTTTTTTTGTACTACTGAATTGTTGTACTTTCTGAACATTTTTCCTATAAAAACTTTTTTCCATTTCACTCCTGATACTGGACATGTTAGTTAACTGGAGTTGGATGGGGCTTCTATTGTAGTTTTGATAACTTGTTTCGTTGTTCTTTTAATTGATTAAAAGATGCATTCTTGAAATAAAAATTGTTTAGATTATAAATACATTATTTGAATGAAATTGATGAAAGTTGTTATAGTTGATTTGTTGCAAGATAGTTGAAAAATGGGGATTCATAACACACAAGATAGTTACTGGTGCACTTGTTGGAGGACCTGATGCTTATGACAACTTTGTTGATCAGAGAGACAATTACGAGCAAACTGAGCCTGCTACCTACAACAATGCCCCCCCTTATGGGCTTATTAGCAAGGCTACACGGTGGTCATGACGGATACAACTAGCTACTTTCAGGTACATTTAGTTCAATGACTTCGGTCTTTGCAAATTTGAAGTTTTGTCTAGTGTTTACTCACAGGATTTGAATAATTATGAATTTTTTATTTAGTGGAACTTCCTACGCTTAAACCAGTTAATACTCAGCCGAAAGCAACCCCAAAACCCAAAGTAACTCCAACACTAGGTAACATTCTGCTGCTTCATGAAGGTGGTTCATTTTAACTTTCATTCTTTGAATTGGAATATTAGACACTGGGGAATCGGATTGACCTAATAATATATTCCTATTATGGGAGTCAGTTTTGGGGTGTGAGAGGCTTGAGGAGAACCTTGTACACTACTCCCTTGTAGTGAATACCTGCCGCAGAAACTAGCTGTAAATCCATTTGTTTCGGTTGCTTTGATTTTCATTGGTATTATGCATGTTGATTTTAAGAGATGTCTCTGTCTCAATTTGTAGGGGTCATTGTGAATGCACTTGGAGCTATTATTAAAATTTTTAAAATTGCGATCGGCTTACTCCTAGTTCAGAAAATGGGATCATTCTCAATGGTGTAATTCCACAATTTTCATCAAAATTTCACTTCTCAAGTAAGTAATGACTTGCCCTGACTTGTTATTGAAGATATTGGAAATGTTTGAAGTCTTGTCGGCTTATATGATTGTTTATTGTACGATGAACAATTGCACAAGCGCACGTAGTAACTATATTTGAAACTATAATTGTGAGATGATTGAGATATTGTGTAATTGTTTCTTAGATTTATCATTGAACATTAGATATTCACTCCTATACTATGCCTCATAAACATGAGTCTGGTGCTCAAAAGAGGAAAAGGAAACGAAATGAAATTGCATTAATTCAAAGTCAAGCAGAGGATATTAACTAACAAGTACTTCAAAAGCAACAATGTGAATATGTTGAATGAGGATGAAGTGGAGATTCAACATGCCCATGTTAATGAAGTAGATGATAAGGATGAAGAAGTGAGTCAACCTACCGATGTTAATGAAGTAGATAATAAGGAAGAAGAAGTGATGAAACCCGCCTCTAATAATGAAGAAGATGATAAGGAAGAAGAGGGTTGCTTTTCTCTAAATTTGGATGATCCCGGGAATTGGAAAACTATTGATCAAAAAATAAGGGATTACTTAGTTGAAAGTGGTCTAAAAAGAGTTGATGATATCTCGTTTCTGAAAGACTATACAAATAGACATTTCGATTCTTCACAATATAAGCGATTGCTACCAAATGAGAAAATAGTTGATAGAAGATGCTAGTATATTCAGTGTCTATGGATAGGATCTTCTGCTTTTGTTGCAAGTTGTTTAAAACACCAATAAATGTGACCAAAGTTGGCGAACTAAGTAATGGTGGATTCAACGATTGGCATAATTTGTATCGATCTATTAAAAGTCATGAAGGAAATGAGGAGCATTTACGTTACATGACTAGCTGGATTAAATTGGAAAATAGGTTTCGAACAAAAACTACAATTGATAAAAGCGTTTAATTGTTTATTGATGCTGAAAGAGAACATTGGAGACATGTATTAACAAGGATAATTGCTATTGTGAAAAGACTTGCGAAAAACATATTGTCATTTCGAGGAGATGATGAGAGGCTACATGTTGAGAACAATGGCCTATTTTTACAAATTGTGGAAATGGTTAGTGAATTTGATCCAGTAATGCAAGAGCACCTTCGGCGGGCTAAAGCAAGAGAGATTCAACATACATATATTGGCAAAAAAATTCAAAATGAGTTGATACAGTTGTTGGCTAATGAGGTGAGAAGTTCAATTGTAAAGAAAGTTAAACATGCAAAATATTTCGCAGTTATACTTGATTGTACTCCAAATGCAAGTCACGAGGAGCAAATGTCTTTAATTGTACGATTTATAGATGATTCGGCAAACTTACCTACAGTTGAAGAACATTGGCTAAAATTTTTGAAGGTAGATGACACAACAGGACTTGGACATGTAACCGAGCTTCAAAAGGCTTTGATAAAAATTGATCTCGATATGGATGACATTAGAGGGCAAAGATATGACAACGAATCTAACATGAGCGGGAAGCACAAAGGTGTGCAAAGAAGAGTTCATGAAATGAATCCCCGAGCTTTCTATACTCCATGTGGAGCTCATAGTCTAAATCTACCATTATGTGATATGATGAACTGTTGTTCCAAGGCTGTATCCTTCTTCGGAGTGATACAACGCATCTACACATTTTTTCCTCTTCTACCAAGCGATGGAAAATTTTCAAAGATAATGTACAAGGGTTGACAGTGAAGCCATTGTCACAAACACGTTGGGAAAGTCATGTTGAAAGTGTGAAGCCTATAATGAAGCAAACTGCACAGATAAGAGATGCATTACTTGATTTGGTAGAAAGTAATGAAAATCCTAAAGTGAAGAATGAAGCTGAGTCGTTAACAACACATGAACTTCAAAATTTTGAGTTTTTACTTAGCATGATAATCTGGTACAGATTGTTGCATGCTGTCAATATTGTGAGTAAATTTCTTCAAACCAAATCCATGGATATTGATCATGCTATCGATCTCTTGCAAGGACTTGTTTCATTTCTTGAATAATACGGAGAAATTGGATTTGCTATTGCCAACGATGAAGCGACAAAAAAGGCAAGCAAAATGAAAATTGAAGCTGTATTTATAGAAAAACGCATAATTTGAAGAAAAACAATTTGATAAAAGCGGTAGTGATGAGGTAAAGCAATCAGCAGAAGAATCTTTTAGAGTTGAGTACTTTATTTTTATAATTGATCAAGATCCATCTTCTCTGAGAACACGATTTGAACAATTCAAATAATAAGATGACACGTTTGGATTTTTGTTTAATTTGAAGAAGTTAAGGGGTGCAACTTTTTCAAGTTTGTTGAACTCTTGTATGAATCTTGAGAAATATCTTCAACATGATGGGCATTCGGACATCGGTAGGATGATTTATGTTCGGAGTTACAAGTCTTGAGGTGTTATATACCAAGTGAAGCAACGAAAACAATTGAATTGCTACAATATTTGAAGACATTGGATGTTTGTTTTCCAAATACTTATATTGTTTACCAAATTTTGTTAACCATATCGATTACAGTTGCATCTGTGGAAAGAAGTTTCTCGAAATTAAAGTTGATTAAGACCTATCTCTGATCAACTATGTCGCAAGAAAAATTAAACGAGTTAGCTATGTTATCAATAGAGAAAGAAATGGTTGAGCAGCTAAATTATTCAGATTTGATTGATGTTTTTGCCTCGAAAACAGTAAGAGGAATAGTATTTAACTAATTGTTTCAAACATTGTTAGTTTTGATAGTTTATAATATAAATCTTTTCTATAATATATTTGGTTGTTGTTTTAATGTTAGTTTTTCAAGTTAGTTATTGGTCACATAATACATCGTTGAATTTTGCATTTACGTTGATTTCACCGGGGGGCCTAATTTACAGATTTCGCCTCAGGCCCCGAGAATCATAGGACCGGCTCTGGTCACATACCACCACCACCCTCACTCCATCACTATCACCGCTATCGCCACTACCACCGCTACTGCCAAAATTTTCACCACCACATCCAATCAATTGTTAACAAAAACCTGGGCAATCAACTCTACCAGCTCTCCAACCACCAACCACCACTTCCATCGCCGTAAAAAACCACAACAACCGCCACCACCAAATACAATAACAATACCTATGCACAATCTCACAACCGTTCCACCCAAAATCACTACTGCCAACAACCACCGCCAACAACGCCACCATCCTACACAGCCACTGTCAGGGCACTACCACCACCACTAGAGCCACTGCACACGAACTGGCAGAACACAAATCGAAAAAAACTCAACCACTCACTGCCTAACCATACCATCAGCAACACCACCGCACAATCGCACACACCACCACCCGTCAAATCCACCAACGATCAAAACCATGAAAAAAATCAAGCAGAGCCGCGAGCAGTGGCGTTCACAGCAAATCGTCGAAAAACTGTTCACAGCACATCTACCTCATAAACCATCGGCCACAGCAAATCGTCGGAGAAACACCGCTAATCGAAGGAATTTCAGATCGAAGCCTTCGTCACAGGCTCCGATCTCTTCATTCCAGTAACAACGTGCAAGCGACGGCGAAGTGAAATGAGGTTGATCTCCGACGAAGGATGCTCCAACGGCGGTGACGGCATCATCTAAAAGAGGATGAAGATGGAAAGGAAGAGTGAGAGTGCGAGTGTGAGAATGAAATAAAAGTGGGTGGAAATAAAATTAGGATTCATATTATATGTCAAAACCTGATTTGTGCACAATGAAACTTGGTCCCTGGCTTTTGAATTGTGGTCTTTAAGTACCTGGTACCATGTAATTTTCCCTCCTATAAAACTCAAACTTGACATACACTTGGCATCTTTAACTTTTCCTCCATACATATTTAGAGTTTGTTTGGTTTGGATTAATCTGATTTTAATCTTTATTAAAGTCAAACAATCAATATTAACCGCATATTTCACGAGTCCCACAATCTTATACTCACAAATTTCAAAAACTTCTATCACCATCTACTTAAAAATCTAATTTTAATTCCCATCAAACACCGTCTTAGGGTTCATTTGGTATAATTCGGTTAAACTATCTTCTTCTTCTTTTGCAAGATTGGGATTTAATATAGTGAAATAAAGTTCTTATCAAAGATTTTATTCAGAAAAGTCATGTTACATGGTTTGTGTCATTGAAAAATTACATAGCATGTTGCACACTTTTACTTAAAATGTCACACACAATCAATTTCTAATAGAACAATACATCTTTGGCTAAGCTTTCAATTTGCTTATAAGAATTTCTTTTAGATGTTAATTTATTTTGTATTGTATTAAATGTGAATTAAGTTTTCATGATCGAGAAAATGACATCATGCCCTTGTTTGAGCCCCATTTTTTTAAAAATTCATTTTCAATCATATATTTTTCAGTAAAATAATAATACACCAAAATTCAAAACGTTTTCTTAATTTTTAACCATACATTCTCCATCAATCACTAGTTGAAAATGTATTCTTTTCTCTTAAAATGGGGTTCAAACAAGGACTATATGTTACTTTTTAAAAAGTAGCATACATCACTTTAATTAAAAAGTATTGATTTTTACAGTATTTTGTACTTTCAAAACATTTCATATAATTGTTGAGAAAAACAAATCCTGATTTTAGGAGTATTTCGATAACTTGGCCTAGTTATTTTTCTAGAGTGGCCTTTCTTCTAATCACTTGGGGTTAGTTTCGATGTCAAATTGCGGGTCAATTCAAATCGGGCAAGATATGGTTCCAACAGGCAACATTCAAATTTCAAATATTAGAAAGAAAAGCAATAAAAACTCTTAGGGCGTGTTCTCTTTGTCGTTTTTCGGCCATTTTCTGTTTTCGATTTTTCAAAACAGTGAAAACGTGTTCTCTTTCCCGTTTTCGAAAACGAATTTTCAAAAATGAAAAAAAAAATGTAAAGAAAACACAAAACGACATTTTTTTCATTTTGGGCATTTTCAGTACAAAACTCGAAAAAATTGAAAATACGGGAAATGGTTTCAAAATGACAAAAAGAATGCATTTTCAACAATTTCAAAACAAGCACTCTAAATACAAATTCCAAAATGAATTCAAAATTCAAAACTACAAAATGAAACACGAAGAGAACAGCCCTTTAACGTTTGGAGAATCCGCCCGTTATATAAGCTTGAAAGTGTCAAATTAAAGCGAACGAACGATTAAAAATATTTAAGTAAAAATATAAAATTTTGAGGTGGACTGGCCGAATGTTAAATCGTACCTTGTTTTTGAACGGTTTCTTATTTTTCGGCTTTAACGTTTGGAGAATCCGCCCGTTATATAAGCTTGAAAGTGTCAAATTAAAGCGAACGAACGATTAAAAATATTTAAGTAAAAATATAAAATTTTGAGGTGGACTGGCCGAATGTTAAATCGTACCTTGTTTTTGAACGGTTTCTTATTTTTCGGCTTTTCATATATAAATCATGTCGATTCCAATTTTTCCAGTTGAATTGTCCAGACAATTCTGGTTTCAAAATATTGAAATTTCTATTGAATGTAGAGAAAAGGTCTTAGGATTTCCAATATTATTGCTAATTCCTGTTCTCATTTTTTTTCTCCTTGCATCTAATCACGATTTTAGCAAAATTACAACGTTGATTGAAAAGATTTGAGCTACCAAAAAAAAAAAATAATAATAATAATAATAATAATAATAATAATAATAATAATAA